TATAGCCCCTGTTCTCCTTTTTTCTCACTATCCATCGATTATAAACCTACGCTTGTAATTAGCCGCTAGCGGAATAGGCCATATTTTAGCCCAACAATTGCCCAATGTCGTACTATGCTGGAACCGCAAACAGAACATTGTGGAGTTAACCTTCGGATGGTGCGAGAGCGGCGGTTGAGGATAGTTGGCTGATGAAAGCAAATAAGCCAGAAATGACTATTCCAGTCTCCCTTATCTTTATCCGTAATATATGTAACCTCTACTGTACGGATTACTAAGTGACTCTTTGCGTGTTTTGAGAGCAAACTTCAAAGCAGAACTTGATCAGGTAGTTTTGTATGTAAGCTGCGAGCGTCCATCTACTGCTTTATGAAGTGATCATTAGATTTAGATTTTCAGTGAGCGCATATGTATTGTAAAGAATTTAGGAGAACTTCCGTCATTTTACCCTACACTTTGTTTGTACCTTCCCCGGGCATTGTTCGCAGCTGTATGCAATTGACAGATGATTTCGTCTTTTAACTTGAAATGCGAAACATAATGGGTTTAGCTGCTTTTGCTAGATCACGGTAGCGTTCTAAAGGATTGATAAATGCGTTCTTTAATTAAAATAAATAACCTTCGGAGGATGTCTGTGCAAATGAAAATCTCCGGAAAGTGGCGAACCCAAAATAATCATTCGGATTTGAATTTGCCGTTCACTTATGGTTAAAAAGTCGAACATTTTAAAAGGAGGCAGATATTACAAGAACTACACACAAAGCAACCAAGATTTGGATTCCCTGCAACCTAAATATTGTTGTAGTCGCCTGGCCAACCATGATCTTCTTAGTCATATATGACGATTTTAAATGCTTCCATTAAAAGTTCATCTCAAGTTATTCGTGAAAAATGTTTGAAGGAAAGCAACATTATTATCTGTAAAAAAGGAAAGGTATTAACAGCAAAATCATGCAGAAGCTCAACTACCTACGATGATAGTACTGATGTCACATTTCAATAATGATATTTTAGCACCAAAACGGGCTTTGTTGCCGCACCACTTTTTAAAATAATTGATGACGTTCTTGACTGCTCTTACGCAAGCTAAAATAGGGAGTAAATTGACAGAATCGTGAACCACGTCCAGAAAGCCACTTTGAAATCTAATGACCAAAATTTGGGTGGAGCCACAAGAAAGCAACAATGCTTACCAAGAACCTCATTAAGAAGAAAATGTTCCTTTTTCCATTGTTTGATTTTTCAAGTCAACAAGTTTTATACCCCAAAATCAGAATCACTTCAAAGTCTAATCGTACTTCAAACTAATATTACTATTTGTGGTCAAAGAGTGGAGTCAGGAACTCAGGTAGTATCGTGAGTTGCTGACCTAAAACAGGAACGATATTCGTTAACTTAAAGATAGTACTGCACATAAGACAAACCTGGTGTTTGATCATGGAATGCTAACCTTTCATCATAATGGGTAGTTACGATAGTATTAGGCGGAATATAAATGGATAACCGAATGTGAGTATCGACGAAGGCTTCAACGCTATCCGAATTCAGGAGATGAATGGTCACGCCTATTTTTGTTCCTTATGCGGATACTGGCGTGCAGTCAACGTAAAATTAGTCAACCTTGGCACCTAGAAGGCAGTAATTTTGTGATATTCAGTCACAGTCTCATTTACTTCAGATAAAACTGCTTGGGTAGAAGATGCCGGATTTCGACTCTTGACCAGATAGTGCTAGTTTAATTGTCAGGATTATAGATTTGGAGTTCTGTAACTTACATCACGCACTCATGTATAGCCTATAAATGGTTCGTTCATAGTAAGATGAAGTAGCATGAGCTCTGATTCGAACATTATTAGAAGACCCGAGTTGTTATTCAAAATCTGATCTGCGCGTTCTGTCCTTTCATAAGGAACTGGTAACTGACTTGTCCTAGGACGTTTATGCAAAAAAGGTTCGATTTTGAGAGAATATCTATACGGATGAGTATGTGGGGGTTCTACTAGTTTATTTTTCAAATATATTGTGATTCAAATAGCGTGTGTTTAACATGGTTTAGTACGGAGATTAAGTGCTTAAAGTTCTCTAGGTGAGTCCAAGCCGTTTTGTGCTAAAACAATGTAACCAATGAGATAGTAAATTAATGTTTCGCATGCTTGGGGGAGATAGCCAGTCAGTAACTGTTTGTCAGTCTGTCGCGCGTACTTTTAACTTGGTCTGTTTATCGGAAAATGGTGAGTGTGAAACTGAGGAAAGCGCAAATCTATTCACTTTCATAATATACACGTTCGAAAAAACCTTAATTGCATTAGCCTAGGTTTAGGATGGGTTAAATCTACGGGACTTTTTAGCCTTCCGGACATTTTGCCCAGAGATATCCGCATTGCCAGAAGATCCTTTCGTATTTCCTCTTCGTCCGCTGCATCTTACAGTACTGTAATAAAAAAACGAGTGCGAAAAATCAATAAATAATCCGATCCGGCATAGCACATCATTTATTAATTTTATGGCATAAGCATTTAACTGTTTGGGTTGATACGCACTTCAAAGAATTAACTAATAAACCTAAGCTTGCAGCTGATCCAAACTTATAACGGTTATTATATGCTCAACTGGTTTCACTAGTTATGCGATACCCACTTTTGTTTTTTTCGCGTGTTAGTGCTCACAGAATGGCCTCCGGAACAAACTTAAATCATACCTCCGAATATTCGGCCGCCCATCACATTAATCAGCCACCCAGCATAGGTTCTCCAACTGTCGCTTCGAAACGGAGAACCAAGGAGTCGTTGCCCAAATCGCACTCGCCAAAGTGTCCAAAGTTGGACGGTTCCAGCCGAGCAGACGAAGCAGCCAGCACGACTTCCATTGGCTTTTGGCTCGCAATTGACTTCGTGACTCGCCGCGCTGGGCAATCAGACACCGTCGCACTAAACAGGTTGCCTCTTCTTCGTATGGACGCGGCACTCGGGAGCGTTACTCAAAGACGGGTAGACAGTGCACTTTGTTTTTATTTAATGCCTTTGGATCCGACGTAACGTGGATGGAGAGGAAACTGGCAGAGTTACCATCCATCGCCAATGTATTTATTAACTGATGCACTCCTTTTTCAGCTTACTGAAGTATCATACATTTACTTGAATATGTATTCATTAAGAGTGGTCATTAAGAGTGTTCACTTTTATCCAACAGCGTTTAATATATTTTTGCATTCCCTAAGGATTTAATCGCGCGTTTTGGGAAGATACTCTTCAGTGCTTTTTAATAGATTGCACGTTTTAGGTTAAGGATTAAGCAGATTATGCAATAAACATAACCGCAAGCGGTATGCTTAGTTACTTTTAGAAAGTGGTCGGAAGATACAATTGGCGTAATTGCACAACCAGCTGACATTTTGTTTGTGCATTTGACCTCATGTTTCCTGAAGGTTTCAGGCAATGACCCTGAACGGTTGTCTTCCGATTTTTTTAATCGCGGGGTTTTCGTCTTGCTGGATGTTGATTGGTTTTAAAAAAGCCAAGACAATGCTGGTACCATGGGTGGTCACTGATAGTATCCGCACAGTATTTCCTCTTGCAATTAAAACCTTATAAGAAGGCTACAGGGTCTAGAGCCTTCTAAACGCACGTAATCTCACACCAGCGCGCATCATCTTATTGCCTTGAAAAAGCAGCTTTGCGCGAAACATGAGTTAATCGTATGGGGGGTCGAGTTGGCAACCTCCTACGTCGTTTGTGAGTAATCTTACAAAGTTTATGTCAGTATGGAGCAGCTAGTGCGTAAATACGGTTTATTTTCTCGCTCAAGCTACTTCATGGCAGTAGCATCTAACTGGAATTTATATTTTTTCACGTCAAACCTGCTGGCAGTCCCTAACATTATACGAGTAAGAGAGTAAAGTATTATTAGTAGAGGGTTTCGGTAGATTTGACTAATTCATTTGGCACTTCCTTGAGAGCTTTGGCGACATTGTTGGGATTCGAACTCATAAGAGCGGGGAGAAGACTTTAGTGCAATGAATGTCCTATCCAGCTAACACACGAGGACCCTCTTGGGAGCCTTCATTTTAATCATACTTGGGTCAATTTACCGACCCAGAAAGCGAAGATGTTGTTTCGAGTCTGTCTCGAGCGACCGTTTATTTAATTTAGGTCATTGCACTAACAAATACTCGTGGTTATGGCGTGTAGCTGAAATCTATGCTAAGGGATGAGCCTGCCTCAAAAATGTGGACAGTGATTGGCCGGCTATATGCATTAAACCCCTGATAAACGATATCCTATTTTCTTTTAACAGGCCATCGATGAGTATCTTACGCAGAACTGCTCTGGCCCATCCATGATTTAGAAGATATACTCAAAATTTTGGACAGCGAACTTTTTCCTGAGAAGCTGGCCACAAGGCTGATTTTCCCTGCTTTCTTATTTTCCTTACAGAAATTTAAGTGTTTGTGTAAATACAGTAGTCGCCACTGATCATGCAACATGCCGATATATGCAAAACGTTGATACTCTTTCGCTAATCGGCATTGACTCAGAGTGTGATACTGATTTTCGTGTCGTCTATTCCGAAGTCATCTCAGTCATGATAGGATGCGGGCTTTTTAACGAGCTTCGTTCTGACCACTAGCAGACGTATGTATTTTAAAAGCTGGCTACTTATGTTGTATGCCCTTTTATCATTTATTTTGACTGACTTTTTAAAATTCAAATCTATTTTATGGAAAACATGCATTAAAAAATATTTATTATGCTTGTTTGATAGCAAATCACGCCTTCTTTAAATTTGTTTCTCAAGGAAAGGGTAGCTTTCGGTTTTAAAAGAAGTTGCTAATTATGAGCTCTTTACAAGTGTGAGGTATTTATTCATAATATATTGTATCCGTCAATTTATTGATGCTGCCCATACTGCATAAAATATGTTTCACATTTATTTCAATATTTTATGACAACTGTGTGACTTCTTCCTAAAACTATTGGCGAAAACGTACTTTTCCTTAAACAAGATGCACATAGTGCGCCGTTTTTAAACCTTGAATTTGAATGAAGCAGTCACAAGGTCACAAAATTATTCGGCAATTGAGCAACTTTTTTTAAAACTGAAGCGTACCCTTTCCTTGGGTATAACATTTAAAGAAGGCATAATTTGCTATCAGACAAGTATAATGAATACTTTTTTCGTGCACGTTTTCCATAAAATAGATTTGAATTTATAAAGGCAGTCAAAATAAATGGTAAAAAGGCATGCTACTTAAGTAATCATCTTTTAAAATACATACATCTTGCTAGTGGTCAGAACGAAGCTCGTTAAAAAGCGCGCGTCCTATCACGACTGAAATGACTTCGGAATAGACTACACGAAAATCCGTATCGAAACTTGAGTCAATGCCGATTAGCAAAAGAGTATCAATCTTTCGCATATGTCGACATGTTGCGTGATCTGTGACGACTTCTGCAGAATACGGTTTTTTTACAAAAAAGTCACAAATTCACAAACATCGGTGTCATTTGCAGGTAGTTTGGAACGCGAATGCGACTTTTCCAGCATGCATGTATTATGCAAATATATTTGTTACATAAAAATACTTCGTAGCAACAGCAAGTGTTTTTTTTTCTATCAACCTTTTAATCCCATTTACGTCAACCCGTTTATTATCAGTTAGCGTTTCCTCCATATCTACTTGAGTGATAGGCATGCTTAGTAGAGATATGACAATCCCCCTATTTAACAATTGATTCTAGGTTTAAATACTCGCAGGTAAGGTTTGGTGCACTTCTTTTCTAATATTTCCATTGCTGTCGACGCGCAGAAATTGTGTCTGCTTCCACGGGGTATGTGTTTGTACACTGTGATATATCGATTTCTTCGATTTATCCAGCTGCTCCATGCTTTGCATTTTGTATTTTTATTAGCAAATTACTCCATTTAAATTCGAAAGCGGAAGTGGTTTGCTCACTAGGTGAGGGCGACCTTTTTCTTCTTTGAAAACTCCCATTAATTCACAAGAATACATTTAAATGGGTGATGTGGGTGGTCGGACGAAGTTGAACTAATGTCATCTTTTTGATGCAATGTTTATGATTTGAGGTGCTATGGCCAACTCTGACAGCTCTAACTTGGTTTAGTCCACGGTGTCTGGTTAAGATAAAACTCTCAAATATCCAGGATCAATCCCTTTGCCAGTTTTTTGTGTGTTAATGGTTCAGCTGAAAACATATGTGGTGACAGTTTTCGTCAAGCTTGTTCCTCCTGGATATTTCGTTGTATTTAAAATGATCAATGTCCCTTTTTAAAGTCGCAATTTCTAACCGCATTTTTTCGCTCTAGTGTCTGCGTCGTTGGTCCTTCGTGATCGGTGACGCCACATACTCCTCGGCGGAAACTGAACAGCAAATCGGTGACGCTCGAAACTGCGAAGCCTCTACGTCTTTCAAAGCACATTCTTTGGTAGATGCAGACCTCCGCTATGTCACTTATCACAACAAGAATCTAAGGGATTGCATGGTGCAAGTAGGGACTTAGCACTGATATTCTGCATTTTGTTTAACTAAATACAATCTTGACGGACTGTTTGTTTGCTTTCTTGTCAAGTTGGCAGCATTCGTAGACGACGCTGTGGAGAGACATTCGGCAAACGAACCCATCAGCCAGTGTTCCCGTCACGATGAGGTCGTTTTGATAACCTCTGGTCATTTTGATATACGAAACGTCTTCCACAGGGAAATCGTTTCTCAGAAGGTACCAAAAGCGGTCGCAAGTACACCACTCTGGTGGTCTTATATTGAAGTTGAGAGACTGGCTTCCACTGTGCACTCAAATCAGATACAGCTATCTAGGGAGGGAGATGAACCTGAACCTGCGTTTCCTGGTTAGTGTCAGTTCAATTAAATTAGACGTGCTTTAGGTGGGCTTCCCCTATTTTGGACTGTCATTTTTTTGCACTACATAAGTTATATGTTGTGACATTTTGAGTCAGCTTGATGGAAATGAATTTATTTGACTAAAGGATATTCTATTTTATAAAACAATTTGCACCACTAACATGGGATTGATTGTTGCCCAGATTCGCAGCAATCCTATTAAAGTACCGATTCCAGCTATTGGAAAATGAGTTTGTGTTTGTTTTAGTTATTCAGCCACTTGCGGAAAATGCCGGCATCCCCGAACTTCCGGTTGAAACCATCAACAAACTGGTACTGGAATATCTTCAGGAAGGTACTTTTTGACGCTTTGAAAGCTCCATGTTCGTTCGCTCTAACCAAAGTCCAAAATATTATGCAAATGTGACGGTCGCTAGAGCTGTTGTACATTGGTTTGAATGTGTGAAACAAATTTGAATACAAATGCAAACAATGAGAGCTGTGGACTGATCATACAAAAGCGATATGTGTAGATATACGAACGAACTGTGGCACGGCACGGCTGTCTTTGAATTGAAAATTGTGAACACTGTCCAAATTATAAATTGGTCTTCCCAGTTACTGATCAGTCTTAATGTTATGCACCAGACGAATTATTTAGTTACGTTTGTGACTGTTTAATTGCACGTACAAGTTTCGCAGCACAAGGATGTCGAGTATGTTCTACTGTTGCTAAACCGGAAGCTTTAGTCGCCTTTCATTTCGGATCCTCACTTGGGTCTATCGGAAAAGAGAGACACTCAGAGGAGGTTACCGATTAACCATGTGCTACAGTATTTTTAGGATGTAGGTGCCAAGACACTACACGCCTGCCATAATTGGCGGCTGCCGAATTCAGCTGGAATCCATTTCATGGCTTTTATTATGCCATCCGCAAGCGCCGCGACAAGTGCAATATGCATATATATATTGTTGCTACTTATTGTGTCTCAGTAACAAGTATAGTGTATATAACACACGACAGGTGGGCACGTTTAGCTGACTCGTAAAACCTAGTTGGAAAGATTTTTGCGTGTTTCGCATCTCCTAACTTACAGGAAGTGCCTTTCACACTTCAACTGCGCGGACCTGTTCAGAGAGACATTTCTTGTGCGGATGGAAGAGGACCTGGGTCCGCGGACGGCGGCGTTTAATTGTTTGCGACCTTGATGACTAGCCTTTTTAAAACGCCTTATAAAAGTGAGACAACGCGATGTAAATTTTGACTGCTGTAAATTCTACTAAAAAAATTCTTGTCGAGCAATATTCGAGACAACGTTACGGCAGCATGTTCCGTAGTAAATAAATTGAATCGGATGAACGACTTTCGTAGCTTATACTGGCATCTACAAGCCGACGCATACATCATAACGTTCTGTGCTGTTAATAGGATTTCAAATCAGCTTGTGTATGAACTCGCATTGTTTTGAAGCACTTAGACTTGTTGGGCAAAAAAATACTATCCTCGCAATAACTTTTATTTTTACACAGTTTTCCATATTGAGCAAATATTTTGTCACGCAGCTGTCTCGTTTACCGACTTTCCGTCCAAAAGCATCAATGATATGTTAAAATAAACCATATCATGCGTAGTGAGGCCTTTAACTAAGCAATATATCATTTATAATGATAATATCAAACAAGCATGAATGTGTGAACTAATCTGAATCTCAATTTTTAATTTTTCTCTGTTTTAAGGCTTACCACTTCCGACGCCGCAGCTTATAAGCAAGTCGTACTATCCCACGGTTATGTAAGTTTTTTTCACTTGATCCAGGCCAATTTGTTCAATTACATCAAGTGGGTCAAGGATCACCCGATGCAGATTGTTGTTTCATCAACTTTCGACGAACTGTGCTGACAGTAGCGCAAAACGAAGGTGCAAAATAGTTCATAGAGTTTCGTCTGAGCATTAAACCGGCTACAATGCATTTGTACATAATAATTTCCTAAAGACATTCTTACAGTGCTCTGGCAATCTTAAATAGAACAGAAAACAGAATACTATTTTCTGTTTGAAAAAAAACTTACTTTAAAAGTAACTGACAGTGAAGCTACTTTGTCTTGTTTCAAATTTCAGAACTGCCGACACCGGGGTGGCCCCTGAAAGTGTCGTTGAAGTTCGCCATCTCCCGTGGACGGCCACACCAGCCGCTATTGCCGCCTTCTTCCGAGGATGCAATATTATGCCCGGTGGAATCGCCATTAAAGTAATCGACGGCCGACGAAGCAACACAGGCTTCGTCTGCTTCCAGACTCCTTTGGATGCACGCCTAGCATGTGCTCGTGACCAACTGCCCATTTCGCTCTCCCCACAATCATCACCACTACCAACCCACTTGCCTTCAAGTGAACAATCGGGTGAAATCGAAAACTTGGGCGAGGCAGGCGATGGGGTTAGGACTACTCCCTACTCGAGTGGCCCGCATGCGTTACTCCAGGTTCTGCCCTCCACCGAGCGCCTTTTCCTCGATCATGCAAAATGTAAGAAAATACGGGTCTAGAAATCAGCCCTCTTAGGAGTTCACGATATCGTTTCTTTGTAAACAACACTGAGATGGCGACCAACCTTGCCATCACCTCATAGGTTAGAGAACCCAATAATATTTATTTTATTTACATATTGCGCGTTTAAAAGCAAGAACAAATAAAAGTTAATTGGTAAAGCAACTACTGGGCGCATTCTAAACCCTGGAAGACAGTTAAAAAACCTAAAACAAACTCCCTCTTTTGCCGTCAATACTAACTTTGTTTAATCTTTGTGCTTGGTCAATAGTGGGCGAAATTGGGAGTTTTTTACCTAAAAATCATGAATTCGAAGGAAAGGTAATAATAGCATAGTATTTAGTATATAACGGCATAATTCATGCAGTTAGTTCAGTGCAGTTAGCTCAATGTATTTAAAGGGTAATAGGCCTTGCCTATTGAAGACCTTGTTAAAAACCCTACAATAAGTAGCCTGACAAAAGCATTTGCCTATAAAGTAGGGCGTAGCATACTCATTTTGAAATAAATGTTTGTGAAAAGCAAAGAACCGTAAAGGATCAATAATAACGTCAAATAAGTAAACCTCGCAGATAATTTCAATATCGTTCATATACAGTACTTCCTTTGCGAGTGAAATGGCGACTATCATCACCAACAGCTCATATTTTAAGCAACTAAGTACGTCTGACCGAGGTTTTCCCTAAGTTCCAGAACACTGTATGATGTGAATGGTAAGACGCTCATCGATTTGTTTAGGAAAAGGGATCGCCACGTTGTGCCTTATAGATCATTATGTAGCCCTTTCCAACACATCGGTCTCCCTTGTCTTTGTCGGTTCCAATTCTCCATAGGTTACAAATCGCTATACGAATGGCCTTGATGGCTCTCTACTGAACTACAAAGCACAAATGCAGCAGCCCCTTTTCACAACCAGATCGGCGAGCGCCCTCTAGTCATCATCTTCCGGATCGCAACCAACAAAGTAACAGGCCCGTAGCTCAATTGTACATTGTTACACTCCATTATTAAAGAGTTGTAGATTTAAATCACGGATGATCAACACCTGCGATGGGTTATGGCTGGCTCATGACGACTGACAAGTCGGAAATGGCACTTCCACGCTCCTTTGTCTTTATCGGTTGCAATCCATTATTATGCTATATAAAAATTAGAGACCGCATTAGTATGGCGACTTTAGAGCAAGCGAATAAAAATACATACTTAATGCAGATTTCTTTGCTTCACATGCATGGAGCCTATTGTGACGGCTATGATTATGCATAAACTTATTAGTGAGGGTAATGTCCAAATGCGTGTTAAGGTTAAGATTGGTATGAGGTTCAGTGTAATAAAGTAATAATAGTTTCACGTAAAAAAACTTTAGCGCAAAGTTAGTATTTAGTCCTATTTCGGTGGCCCCCTGTGTAGACTACAAACCGTTAATTCCTGTACTACTTAAGTGCTGCTAAACGCTTTGTGTATCAGCCAGCGACTTTGAGTCAGTTTTGGTCAATTTCCAAGTATTCGTTGTCAACAGCCTGTCACGCCTGTCACGCTTACTCGAAACTACAAAAAGGCTCTTCTCACCCAGTAGCGCGTTGGTGGAAACTGAAAAGTGTCCAGATAATACAAAGCGGTCTCCTGCACGGAGGTGTTAACTGTCAGTTACAAAACTTTGTGCATTTTTTGAGAAAACGGGTAATAAGCAGAGACGGTGTCGGATAAATAAGTCGACAGTCAAACCTTCGATTATAGGAAGAAACTTTGCCACCATGGTGGGCCATTAGACTGATTTCAGTTTTGTCGATTTGGGAAGGGAGATCGTGTCAATACCCGCTCCTGGTACTTCTAATTAATACGAACGCCGAACCAAAGAGTCCGTAAGTGAGAGAGAGAGAGAAAAAGACCAGTAGGCCAAAGAGAGTGTGCGTCTACTCAGACAAGCACGGTACAGCAAGTCACTGCAAGTCTTTGAGTCTAAAGGTACAACAAATTTAGGGCAACGAACGAGTGTAAGCTAGGTCCATCGAGCCAATCGGCTTTCGACAACCCGCGCGATTTCTGGGACCCAGCGGCTGAAATTCAGCTTTAATTTTGAATTATTCATTGATGTGACTGCGAGTTTTGTTTGCCGCCTGCAGGCTGATCGATAGCCTGCTGTGAGCGCGGCTACTTGCGCAGGCTATCTCTCCGCTAGGCGTCTTCTAAAAGAGTTATCGTGGTAATGGGCGCATTCCCAGCAGATCGAAGACTACACGACGAGATAATCCAGTCTCAGGGAGCAATTAAAATGTCAGAGGACAATGTGCAGTCCACGGACATCGCTGCAGACGGTAAGCAACGAAACACAGCTGGAAATATGGCACTTCAGTTTTTATTTTGCCTTCCCGATTAAACTTTTCAGGAGTGAGACTGTGTATGCACTTACCCTAGTTTCTTTTCATTAGAATTCCAATTGGGCAATTAATTGCAAAAAGTGCACTTAGTGTATTTCTGTGGTGTATGCATTAAGTTTTTATTTGTAAGGAACTGAAGCGGAAGAATATTCTTTACATTATTTCGTCCGGTAGGTAATTGGTTGATTGTGAGGAACTACACAATGACACAGGACATCCTATTCATCGTTGAGTAATGTACAGTAGTCACCACAGGCCATGCAATTTTCATAACTTTGTATAAGATT